GTTTTCGTGTAGTTAGTGTATCTGACAGAAGCTGATCCAGTAAAAGATTGTAAGTCATATTTTTCTACTTATATTCCAAGAGTCACTGTTCAGGCCAACGAGAGATTCAGTTTATCGTAAAGAAAAGATATTCCAAGAGTCATTTTTCACTCAGGCCAACGAGAGATTCAGTTTATTGAGAGAAGAAGAAGCTAGCATAATTTGAACGATTCGTGCATTTGAAGGAGATCATTAAGGACGATAAACTTGCAATAATTTGTTGTAAGATTGCTGATTACCTAGGGAGCGGCTGAGAGTAGATAATATAGTCTACAAGGAACAAGGATTTGGACCACTCATCATCAGAGAGAGATAGTTTTGTTTCTGCAGTTTTTCTTTTATTGATAACACAATTTTTACACTTAATTTAGAAAGGATATAAATATTTTGATTAGGAGATTTAGAATAATATTTGGATTTTGAGATTTCAACTAATATTGTTTGTACCATTAATTTTGAAGGTTCACGTACGTAGAACAAAATTTTAAGAATCATTATATGAGATATTGTTTATTGAAAACATTTGAGTGTGAATTTTATTTCATTATTTTTATTTCAATATATAATGTTAGATCATATATGTTTTTTATTATTCCGGTATTCTTTGGACCTTACCTTTCACATGTAATAGCATAGATATTGAAGCACGAATTTAACCCTGAGATAAGAGAATTAAAAAGTGTGATAGAGTCATAATCATATCATTTAAAGAATTTTAATTAATTAATTAATTAATATGTTGTTAGATACTGATATTAAGATCTATCATATCATATATTGTATATTACAGTATATGATTATCATAAAAGTCGATTTTTATAATTATCAACTTGTTCCAAGATTTTTACATTATTAAAGTCAAAGTTATGTCCTGTCTTTAAGTGGTGGTCCACTAAGGCACAAAAGTTTTTTCGTAAGTTACAGTCACTTTTGTGTTGAGTGACACGTTGTTTAAGCCACTGTTGACTTTGTCCAATCTAACAACATCAGACCAATAACTGACTACGTACCATCAATTACATTTTGTAGATCAATTTACCATGTTCCTGATTCTTTCTGAATCTTCTACTTTTGCACCTTATTATATGGATAATACTGTTACAATATGTCATTGTTTACTAAAACTTATTCGCTAAAAATTGTACAATGGGAATTCACTCTATAAAATATTGCGGTTACCATAACTCCCAAATAAATTAAAATAAAAAAAATAAAAAAAAATGTCATTTATTTACATTGGATATGTTATCAAAATTTAAATTTTTAATCTTAAGTTGTAAGTATTGAAATATTCATTTTGTTTACATATAATAATTATAATGAATTTACAGTTTTCTCCTGAAGAAGTCACAAAATCGTGACGAAATATTGAGAAATAACAAATAGAGTTTTATTTCGTACAGACCAATTGCTGAGACTACAAATAATATTTAACACAGTACGGTCGAGAATAATTTTATATATATATATATATATATATATATATATATATATATATATTGTTATGATGTGTTGTTGTTGTATGAGCAATGAGTAAATTTGAATGATATATGTAAGTATAGGGTTTTTATCGCGGTTCTCAAAGAATTAGTTTGTAAGTACTTTTTTAAATTATCTTTATTATAACTATTATGAAACAAACCTATCTATCTAATATAAGCAATATCAATTTAAAACAATCTATCTAAAATTTGAAATTCTTACAATTATTAAATTATTAACAAAATTTGGTACCTTCTTTCACTGAACGCCTAAAGTTTTTCCAAAATTAAAGTTATTATCACCACTAGATATTTTCTTACTCAGCCTTGGTTATCCAACTATTTTAATATGTTCCTTCTTAATTATCTCCACTCACCATATAAATATATAAATTTAAATCCTTGTAATTTCCATATAATGTACTTTCAAATATACTGGATCTTGTGGTTGTATTATTGAATGCTTACTTCAATGAATTAACTTCAAAACTGTCACTATATTACTGTAGTAATAATTAATCTCAACTGTATTAGACTTACTAATTCATTTAACTTAATCAATCCCTTCTTCTAGCTAATAATCTCTTCATTACCTCATAAATTCTTGTTAATTATTCTTTGTAATTAATAATCACATGTAATTGACTTAATAATCCTTGAATTGTTATAACTAACTCCTCAATAATAATCTTCTTGTAACTAAATTCTTGAATTATAACTTTACTGACTCACTTTACTAACTGTAATTAAATAACTAACTGACTTCTAACTGATCATACTAATAACTGAACTGGTAACTCAACTCTAACTGACTGATATCCAACTGACTGCTCCTCCAAATTACATGGCTTTTTATATGTTTTTCATTGTTTCCAGAGTACTCTAGCAATAAATAATGTTCGAATCATTCTATTTGTTCTATCTGAAAATTCTGGAATTCTTTTTTGTCTGTTATGTACTATGCATACAGTCCCATTGACATTTCCAGAACTTTCCATTTACAATTTACTCGACTTTATGCTCTCCAGATCAGAACTACACTATTATATGTAACTTAAACATGTATATGAAATATATTTTTACTATTCTATATCCACAATTATATTCTAAATTAACATTCCAAAAATAAATAACTTTTTGACTTTGGCACTACAGTGTATGTTTGGTTGCATAGCACATGGCTGACTAAACATATTAAATATTAAATAAAATAAAATAAAAAAACTTCTTAAACTTAATTCTTATGCTAAATTCTTAAAAATACCCTCATATAATTATTTTTTAATAATATTATTTAGTATATAACTTACAAATTATGTCTCTAACCACTATTTAAATAAATTTATTGTATATCTGGTTGTATATATTTCTATGTTAATTTATTGCATTTCTGTTCTCATTAGAATATATATATATATATATATATATATATATATATATATATATATATATATATATATTATGAATGACCGAATAAACCTCTGAATTCACTAGTTGAATACGTTATTATATATATATATATATATATATATATATATATATATATATATATATATACACTTATGGACAAAAATATCGAATATTTTGTAATTTTCAAATTTTTTCTATTTGGAAAATAAATTCTGGTTAATCCAGTCGTTTATTGTGGAGGAGAGTTTATTTTACAATGTTTAATGAACAATTTTAAGTTTTTATGCAAAGAAAATTACTGCTTAATGTTAGGTAAATAAGAATATTTTACTTTCAACTTTAATGCCAATTTAAATTGCTAAAACAGCTCGTTTTAACTGGAACAAATGCATGATCAGTAACGAGTATTTCCTCCTCAAGCTCTTATTACTGCCTGCATCCTTCTCGGCATGCTTGCAGGTAAGGCATTCTATTTATCCTGTGGAGCAAGCCGAAGCTGGTCTATCGTGTTTGAAACAAAATTTCTTTGTCGTATGGGGTATTTTAGTTGATCCCAGATGTACTCTATTGGATTTAAATCTGGACTCAAGGGTGGCTAATCCAAGAATTTGGACCTCATCAAGATAATTTAATTATTATTGCAGCGGTGTGTGGTTAAGTATTATCGTGTATTGACATGAATCTGTCATATCCAATGTTGCCAACATATGGCAAACCACAATCTTGCAGGATGTTTTAAACATAAGAATCACCAGTCATCCGTCCAATCACTTCCACAAGTTCGGTACGTCCCTACCAGCTAATACCTTCCCAAAGCATTATGCCACCACCTCCAAAACTAACGGTCTGGGCGAGATTGCAGGTGGAGAATCGTTCCCTAACTTTTCTGTAGACGTGGTTTTGAATATTTGGTTTTCATAATAGCATTCTAGTCTCATCAGTAAAAAGAACATTTTTCAGTTGTAGATATTCCACTGAATATGTGTTCTTGCAATTTCTAAAGGACGAGTTTTATAATTTTGGAAAAGACGTGGAACTTTGGCAGGGCGTCTAGGCGTTTAGTTTGCACATTGGTCGGCCTTGACTAGGTCTTCGTTCAAAATCTTCTGTTTCGTGGTACCTTTTTAAAGTATTGGAAACTGTAGATTAACTTCTCCTGAGACGTCGTGCGATATCATTTTGTATATATCCTTACTCGTGTATACCCTACAAAATTACTATCTATGCTGATTTTGCTTCATCGCAGTGGCGAATTCATGGCATACTTGTTTTAACCTTAGTTAAATCAAAACAAAAATACTTAAACTTAATAAATTAAACTAAAAAAAAACAAATTAGTTTAGGTGAAGAAAGTTTTTTATGACGAATGACACTAAACGCTGAATAAACGTCAAAATAAACTTTCAAATATTCTAAACTTACTGAGAACATCAGGCTACTCTATAAGTAACATCAGTAATCTAAAATTATTTTGAAATAATAGTTAATACAAAAAAAAATTGGAAAATTCTAAAATATTCTATATTTTTATCCATTAGTATACTTATATATATATATATATATATATATATATATATATATATATATATATATATATATATATATATATAATTTTAATTATATGAGCGTGTCTTAAAAATCGTAATTGTATAGATGACTGCAACGACATTCTGTTCGTTAAAAAGATGAATCTAAGTGTAAAAAGTCAAGGGAAAAAAACGTAATGCGTAAGATTTCGATCGAGCCAAGTTATTTTTAATTCAGTGCTTACAATATCCTACCTACCTACATCTTTGAACTATCCTAGATTGCAACCACTTAGAAATTGTGTCTATAATTCAGAACCTACCCGCAAAAACGTCGCTTAAAAAAACGATACAAGACTCATAAAGAACCAAAAATAATTAAAAATTTGATCAACTAGTTTCCAAGCTCTAAAATAACTTTTCTCATCGGATAGTTATTTTTAAACTTTATTTACAACAAAATTGCATCATAAAGTACAAGTAGTAGTAGGTATATTACACAGTTCAGCGTTTAAGTTTAGTGAACATAGAAAGTTTTTAATCCATGGGAAAAATACATGAAGTTGTTTTAAATCTCAGGAGGAACACCCCTACAGAACATTGGGGTTTTAGTTTGGTTGGAGGATCTGATGTTAAAACACCGCTGATCGTTACAAAAGTAAGTTTTTTACTATCACCCAAAAAAAAACCACTAATTTCTGGGGTTCAATTCAGTTCATCAATTATTTGTGTGAAGTAGACAAAATAGTATTATTTGTATTATAGCATTAATTATTCATATATAAAATAATATTTAACTTTTTCTTTCGATATATTATAATAGGAAGAAACCTTTTTCTTCTCTGCCATAATATACATTGCGTAGAATAATATTGAATTTAAATAAAAGAACAAAACGCAAACATCCAACTTTTTTATTGTATCTTTTGTAATAGTGACATATTTGTGTTTTTAATTAAGATTTGTGTTTAAATTAAGGTGATTCTCATTTAAAATGTGTATCTTAATCTACCTATATAATATTAAAATTAAATTGTAACAAGTAAGCTTTTTGTGTTGCAATAATTTCCAAGAACAAAATTTTTGATCATTTAAAAAAAATTATTCTTTTAAAATATTGCATAATGGTCATTCAAGTATTGTATCAGATATATAGTGTAGATGCCAAAAAAAATAGGCTAGCACTGAGCTGTAAATTATTCAATACAATTAAATATCTTAACTTATTTCATAAAATGTAATAACTTCTTTAGATGGCAAATTTTTTATGTTAAATTTATATGTACACACACACACTCACACACACACGCACACACACACACACACACATACACACACACACATATATATATAATATATATATATATATATATATATATATATATATATATATATATAAATAAGACATATATTATATATATATATGTAGGTCTTACTTAAGTTCTTTTATTATTTCAAAGGGAACTAACGTTAGAATAAAAGTTCGCGATCCAAACGATACGTCTGTATTACACAACAATAAACTGTACGGATGGTATTTACAGGTACACAATATTACAAGATTACGGATAATTATCTGCAAATTAAAATATCAGACAACCCCTTCGTTAATTGATCTCATCTTTCGTCGTTTCTCTGCCGGACGTTGCACAATAATTAACCTTCACAGCTCGAGTGCTAAATATCGAATCCCTTTTAGGTCAGGCATGTGTGATTTTGTCTATATTTTTCTGTCCCCTTTCTCGCGATGGCGACCTATCTGGGGCGCCTTAAGAATATGTTTTTAGTGGTATCTCGTAGTGGCGTAACTAACAAATGAAACTATGCTAAATACTTAATATAAGAAATATTTCCTACATTCGGCCATCCTGCTAGGAATCCGACTCGGATTCTGACTGGTTCTCTACCCATGCCTTTATATATTCAGCACACGTTGATGTGTTCAGGGGGCCTTCATGATATCCTGACTTTTTCACATCATATCTATCATTGGACTTAACATCTACTACCACATATGGTCCAAGATTTTTCTTCCTCAGCTTGAGTCCACCACCAAACTTCGTTCTCTTAATTGCCACTAGGTCTTCTTTTTTATACATTCTCGGCTTCTTCCTTCGTAAGTTATACCTGCGCTTATTGTCCTCCTGAACTTTGATTAACTGACGTCTACTCTCGTTTCTTAACATGTCACCTTCATCATATTGTTTGATCATTTCCTGCTCTATTATTTCTTTCATCCTTGTTCCCTTTCTGTGTTCCATTTTGTATTGATAATCTTTCAGTAACAGAGCCCACCTCGCAACTCTGGTAGTTAAGTCCTTTTTATTCATGGTCTTAGTAAATGCGGAACAATCCGTTACTATCTTAAATTTGATTCCGAGTAGATAGATACGAAATTTTTTCACTGCTTCTATTATAGCCAAAACTTCTAATTCGTAACTTGTATATTTTTCCTCAGCTGGACTTGTTTTCTTGCTCATATAATAAACTGGGTGAAACTTATTATCTTCTCTTGATCTCTGTAGAAGACAAGCTCCATATCCATGACTGCTAGCGTTTGTGTGTAACTCGGTTTCTCTATCTGGGTGATAAATTTCTAAAACCGGCTGACTAGTTAACAGCTCTTTAAGTTTTAAAAATGCACTCCTTTCTTTTGATCCAAACTCAAAGGTTTGATTTTTTCCAGTCAAGCCTAAAAATGACTAAATCTGCTTAAAGTTCTTTGGTTCCTGGAATTTCTTTATGGCCATAGTATTTTCATCTGATGGTTGAATTCTGCCGTCCTCAATAGTATATCCTAAAAACGTTACTCTTTTCTGTAAAAATTGGCACTTGTTCTTCTTTATCTCTAAGCCGTAGTCCCTAGCTACTTCGAGTACTTGGTTTAAATGTACAACTCCTTCTTCTTCGGATTTACTTAAAACTATTATGTCATCCATATAGTAAATTGCTATGTTCTTGGATGTCATCTCTCTAAGTATCATCATCATCAGTGGTGCTACAGCTCTAGTCTATTTCGCCAGTCGTTTCTGCTCATCGCCAACCGTTGCCAATTTGCCGCGCCGATCTTCCTTGCGTCCCCGTCCACACCGTCCCTCCATCTCAGTCGTGGTTTGCCTCTACTCCTATTTCCCACTGGGACCGATAATAGAGTTCGTCTGGGTGGGTAATTTTCATTTGCTCTTGACACATGTCCAGCCCATCTAAGCCTACCTATTTTTATGAAGGATATTACATCTCTACCATTTACTATTTTTTTATACTTCTCGTACAATTCGAAATTATATCGCCTTCTCCAAATACCATTCTCACAGAATGCGCCCATTATTCTTCTTAGTATCTTCCTTTCGAAGACGAGCAGAAGATTTGCGTCTGTTTTGGAGATGGTCCATGTTTCTGACCCATATGTCAGCACTGGTAGGATGAGTGTTCGATATATTATTAGTTTGGTTTTCTGGCTTAAATTTCTGTTTTTTAGTTGCTTGCTTAGTCCAAAATAACATTTGTTTGCTAGCAGTACCCTCCGTTTAACTTCTTCAGATGTGCCATTATCGTTTGTTATGAGAGAACCCAAATATGTAAACTTATTTACTACCTCAAAATTATATTGGTCTATACTGAAGTTTTGTTCGGCGTTTCTAGCTCTATCTCTGTTATTTGGAATAGATGCTAACATTTTGGTTTTTCCTCGTTTATTTTAAGGCCCATATTTTGTGCGGCTGTCAAGAAGGCGGAAGTCATCTCTTTAAGTCCTCGTGTAGTACGTGCAATCAAATCCAGATCGTCAGCGTAAGCCATAATCTCTCTAAGTATGTGGCTAATAAATCTTTGAAACACTGCAGAACTCTTACACAATCTGAACGGACACCTTAAAAATTCGTATTGTCCATCTGGGGTGACGAATCCAGTGTATTTAATGCTATCTTCCTCTATTGGTACATGGAAGAATCCATTCTTTAGCTAAGTGCTAAAATATTCTGCCCCTTGTAACCGATCCAATTCATCTTCTATTAAAGGTAATGGAAACCTATCTTTTATTATATTCCGGTTAAGTTTTCGGTAATCACCGCAAACTCTGATCTGTCCATCTTGCTTTTTGACACGTACAATTTGACTTGCAAAATCGGATGTACTAGGTCGAATTATTTTTTTTCTCTATCCATTCCTTAATTTGCTTACCTACTTCTTGCTTTTCTGGTATTGATAGCCTTCTTGGGTTTTGATGTATCGGTTCTTCGCTACTTCGAATTATTTTCATTTTTATATCTGTAGTCTTGGCTGCGTAATATTAGACAATGGTGTGGTTCCACAGTAGAAGAATTATTTCGCGCAGCAGCCGACAGAGAAAGGTTTCAGGAAATTGTAAACATGATGACGGCCAACGTCTGAAAACGGACACGGCACCCAAAGAAGAAGAAGTCTTGGTCTGTCGTGGTTCATAATTTTCCACTAATTCTTTTATTTCCATTTTGATATTTGGGTCTTATTTATTTCTTTTATTTATCTCATATTATTTACTTCTTTTTTGCATACAATAATTCCGTATTCGGTTAAGGTAACCTCTGCTTGTTTTAGTATATTGTTTCCAAGAATAACTTCTACGTCTAGAGCTCCTTTTGGGATTACATGAAATAAAATATGAAAATCTTCGCCTTGTATTTCCACTAATATATTAAAAGAACCTAAAGTTTTAACCTTAATTCCTCCTAATCCATTTAACTCTACTATATTCTTCGTAAGAATGACATCATCAAAGTGCTTTTCAAAAATATCTTTGAAATTGTCTATGTGTGGCATGTGTGATTTGGTCTATATTTTTCTTTCTTCGCGATGGCGACCTGCCTGGGGCGCCTTAAGAATATGATTTTAGTGGTATCTCGTAGTGGCGTAACTAATAAATGAAACTATGCTAAATACTTAATATAAGAAATATTTCCTACATATATATATATATATATATATATATATATATATATTTATATATATATATATATATATATTTATATATATATATATATATATATATATATATATATATATATATATATATATATATATATATATATAAATATGTGTATATAACGACGCTAACAATACAATTCTTTGGTAAGTAACTTTCGGGAAAGCGTCAAAACAAGGATCTGCTAGAGATGGTATAAGCCAGTTTGGTGTAGAACTTTATGCTAAATGTGAAATTTTCGGTGATAGGCTGTCACCTTCATCAGCACCTAAATGGAAAACTTATTTAGTAAAAGTGGTGGAAAATAGTATTTAAAAACGTACATTGAAAATGTTCAGTTGGTCCTAGTGGTAAAGAACACTGTCATAAATATGTTAATAATATTAAAAAATACATTTAAAATTTTAAATAAAAATACCACAAAAGGGTATTTTTCCAAATATAACACAAAACATCTAAAAACCAACAAAAACCGCAACTTCATGTTAAAGGTAGAAAAAAAGAATTTTTCTTCTTTTTTGATGACAATGTTTCTGATTTCTGTCAATATCAACAAGGTTATATTTACATCTGCACCTCATGGTACATGTTTTTATTTAAAATTTTAAATGTTTTTTTTTAATATTTTTAACATATTTATGACAGTGTTCTTCACCACTAGGGCCAACTGAATATTTCCAGTATAGGTTTTTAAATGT